TTAGATTTGAAAAAAAACAATGTTAGATTTAAAAATAGTTTACAAAAAGTGTTAAAATTAAAAAAAAATCCATATATGCGCATTTAGTATGCAGGCGCTCATTATTACACTGTAGGTAGGGTCTATGGCCCTGTTCGCTCGTCTTATAATATGTCTTTTTCAGCTTGTTTTTTTAACGGAAACAGTGTTTTTCTCTCACAACAAATCAACGGAAACAATGTGTTGTTTATTTTTTCAGCGAAGCGAACCGGGCCTACGAGGGGTGCGTGGTGTGTGGCGTGGTGGGTCACCAGACATTTGTGCATTATTGGTGACAAGGTGGAACAGTACTTGCTCCCTTCCAAAGTTGATGATTTTTTCTAAACGAAACGTGTTAAAGCCGTCAAAATTTATTTACAGCTAAAATCTTTATTGAAATCAATTTTTGCAAAGCAACCCCCGCTGCTTCACTCATCAACTTAAATTTGGCACACAAAATTACTGTGTTTTATTTTAATAAAATATTGAAAATGGTAATTGATTTTGGTATCCGGAAAAAAACAGCTAGCCTTTAAAAAGATATACAAAATAGCAACATGAAAAGCATGGAGACAATAGTAAAATTTATCTCTCTTGATGGACTAGCTCGTAGTGGTTGTTTCAGCTGATAGTAAATTTCACCTAGCTAGGTATAAAATATATAAAAAAAAATGAAAAGCAGAAACGAGTTTGTCATGGAGGTGAGGCCACTTTATAATGACAACAACTAGTGAGCTACCACAGTCCATCCAGGTGAAAGGTGAAGGTGAAGAAGTTGGCCCTTGGTCGCTGGAACGGAGGGGTCGAGACCATGCAACCTCCATCCGCTTCGCCACGGGCAACATGTCAACGTTTGTCGACGAAGACAAGGCCAAAGCACGGACCATTGAAACCAAGATAGCAAGGCACTCACGACACCCTACGAATTGACTTACGTTTCGAGCTAGCGAGATTTTTAGGGGCGTCGTTTGGATGGTTAGAATCAGTTCCGTTTTTCGTTAGAATTGAATGAAATGACTCGAAACGAGAATAACGTTACTGGATTCGGAGCGGAAACATTCTGGCTTTTCTTTAACCGACCCAAATGCTCATTGGCTGGTTTCGCACGGATTCACGGAGCCAACACCTTGGTACGTTCTTTATTTTGCTGAAAATTACAAAACTGCCGCTCCTATCTATTCGTCCACGCTAGGCTCAGGAGATAAAAAAGACATGCTAGGAGGGACCTAATTTAGGTAGCACTGTTGGGAATGATAGTAGAAACCAGTCCTAACAAAGGAGCCTCTCTGTTCATGAAAGTAGGGGGTCTTAGCTTCTCCAGGGAAACAATTTATCTAACTTCAATTCACCTGCATAGTTGCTGAGTTAGTGGTTACTAGTAAGTGGGTCTCTAATTGTAATCAAGCCAACATGGTAGTGACCTAACTGCAGAACAAACCCTCGCCTTTTAAGGTATTACTGCTTGAGACGAGGCTCTTGGAGAACAGCTTAAACATGGAAAATGACACTAGCCTATGTATATTTTTCACCAGTTATTAATCCATATTTGTGTTGTGTTAGTCGTCACTACTTTTCTTTGAAGGTGACTTGTGGCCTGCATCGTTTGCTGCTGGTCATCTAATTATTTGTCATGCCTGCCTAGCCCGTCTCTTTTCTCCAAAAGAATATTTGTATGGACACCTACATGTACATGCACCGGCAGCGGCAGGCACCGTCCATCCATCTGTTGATTCACCGGTATATGTAGCCGAAAGGAAATTTGTTTGGTTTTAACCACGCATATATAATCTCTCCAACAATTAATATATATATATATATATATATATATATATATATATATATATATATTCGGCTGCGTATCATGCCAGATGGTAGTGCAGTGTTGCAGAAAAAGTGGTAACAGCAGAAAGATCACCTTTTGGTGCTAGCTGATGAATGTGCTATGGATTTTATCTTTCGCGCGCACAAATGCCGGCTGACTAGCAGCTCCTTTCTAAGCAAAAGCAAAGGCAAAGCAAAGCAAAGCTTAGCTTGCTTTTCCCCTCTTCATATCTTATCTTTTGAGGGCCTCGAAGGGACATATGCTTTCACACGTACTACTCGTAGCTAGCCACAATTAATTAATCCTTTAATTTTCCTGTGTCTAGCTAGTGCGATCTATAATTAAAACTTGTGGACTTTGACTCACTATTTACTTGCCCTATCCAGTTTCCTAAGTCTGCGTGAAACTCATTTTGTCCCGTGAAATTTTCATCAACCCTTCTCTTTATCTATTCTATGTCATGTCAACTTATTTAGTGTCATGAAATCATCGTAAAATTTCCTTATAACAGAAAAGTGAGTACCGACGGACACAAGCAGAACTTTGGCTTTTCCCACAAAATGTTTTTCAACCGGGCGAAATTATTAGCATGGTATAGTGGGACACCTAGCTACATCACGTACATACGGTCAGGTAGACAGCGCATATCTTTGTATCAAAATAATTGAAGACGAGAATGCATCCCATGTACGCATGCACGTAGTATGATGATGGATATGACAGAAAGTGCACGTCCAAGAGGATGCCAAACTCTAACTGACACGCCATGTGGTCCTCTTTTTCTGATGAAGAAGGGTCATCGGATCGTCTAGATTTTTATCAGTGACAAATTAAAGATGATAATAAAGTAATCAATAGCTGGCGTCAGGACCTATTATATATTCCATTGAAGGAAGGAGCTCTGAACAACTTACTCCTACATGCACAATTAATGTATACTAGTAAAATGCCCGTACGTTGCAACGGGAGAGGTATAGCGTCATCTAAATTTTTGACATCTTGTGTCTTTTTTCGTCTTGAAAAGCTATAGTTTTTCATTTACATGGTCATATTTTTATTGCACTAGACATTATGCTAAAAAACATATATATAAATAATTTTTGACTCAATATATTTTCTTCTACTTAGGTAATCAATTGCATCTATGCCATAGCGCGAAGGGCCAGGCGCACACGTTTTCACTTCCACTTCCAATTATAGCATCGAGAAAAAGGGAAACATCAAAACGAAAAAGAGTATCCACGGAAAACAGAAGTGGGACACGGAAAGGAAAGGGCTGTAGAACAGTGCAAGCAGGGCACGGCATGGAAAGAACAAAGAGAATTCTGAAACAAAGCCATGTTACTGTCGGATACGGAACGGAAACAAAAAACAGTGGGGACAACTGAGTCACTCAAGATTAGGTGGGACGAAAAAAAATTGTACCAGAAATTTTGCCTCTTTAGTATTATGGATGATAAATTATGTAAGTTATGGATTATTTATTAGAATATAGAAGGATAAAGAGTTCAAAGATTTATAGTACTATATTTGTTATTTATTATTTTTATTTGTAAGAAAAATGGGAGAACAAAGAGAAAGAAAATGTCATGTACATACCTCATGGGGAAGTGGAAACAGAAAAAAGGAAAAAAGAATCGAAAAATGCTGTCGGCAAGGTCTTTCGTTAATAAAAAAACAGATGGGGATTTTTTTTAATTTTTTTTAGCTGATGGCCGAGACCGAGTCACTTACTTTATGATTATAGGTTGGACGAAAATCTAAAGTGGCCAGAAATTTTACCTCTTTATCATTAGATATAGATTTGTAAGAAAAATGGGAGAAAAAAGAGAAAGAAAAAGTCACGTACATACCTCCGGCGGGAAGTGGAAACGGAAAAAAGGAAAAAGAATCAAAAAAGGCCGACGTTCGTTAATAAAAAAATAGATGGGGAATTTTTTCTAATTTTTGAGCTGATGGCCGAGACCGAGTCACTTTATGATTATAGGGTGGACGAAAATCTAAAGTGACAAATTTTTTTACCTTTTTATTATTATGTATAGATTATCAGCCTGTTTGTTAGTTGGTTTCTGGACTGATGAGCCCGACTAGTGCTGGTTTATTGTGAAAGAAAAATACTATACCATGACTGATAAGCCTTGGGTGAAACCAATCAGCGAAGAGGCTGAACAGGGAACCAAGTCAATACAGATGAGCGAGCATACACAAGAGATGAGAATGAGATTGTCATCAAGGTGGTGATGATGGGCCATATGATGCGTATCATTTATTTATCTCTACGATTCACTCCTATGCACCACTTATTGTAACTTTTTACAAATCGATCAATCACCCACCAACACTTGACCCTTGTGCTGTGCTGCCGCCACCACCACTTTCAAGCTTTTACTAACAGTGGAGATAAAGGAAAAAACGAGTGAAAAAGGAATAACACGGTGACTGTAAGAATAATAATAATATGATGAGTGGAAAGAATAATGATCTGAATGGTTGTTGACCGCAGCACTATCTATATACAATTATTATTATTATTATTATAGGCAACAATGCAAGTAGCAGGAGAGGGGTACCTGCCACGTGCATCAAAAGGACCGAATCATATATTATGCATGCATATACTCCGCATGGAAGAATGAAGAATTATTGAAGATGGTGTGGTGAATTGCATGCATCCATATGGTTAGCTTTCTTTTTTCTTTTTCTTTTTGTTTTTTTATATAGGAAAATCCATGGTTAGCTTTTTTTTTTAGATGGAGAACTGAACAATCGCCAAGGTCCAAGGCCCAAGGCCCAAGGCGCTCGAACAGAAGACGAACGTGATGGGGCTATCACACCAAGGCCTGCTTGGGGGTTGGTTGAGACTAAGCTAGTTTGGGCCAAAGCACTTAGGCAGCCCAAGAACGCGTACCGCTCCGCTCCACCTGTTGTTGGCCACACAGCTTCGGCCTTCGTCTTCCTCCACTCGACGCACGCACGCACAGAGAACACCGCCACCGCCAGCGTTTGTGTGCCAGAAAAAACACGCCGCCACCATGGCTCCTTTGCTGCCGAGGTAAGTAGGGCGGCCCGCCACTGCTTCTCTCCGAGACCCGATTCCACTCCGCCGCCCGCCCGCCCGCCCGCCGGACCTGGAGGAACAAGGCCTTGCTTCCTTGCCAACATGGCGTCGCCGGACGACCCCGTGCTCGCCGCTTGCAAGGTACGGACTCCCTCCCATCTCCTTTCGCTCTTTTCGAGCTACCTAGAGCCCTCGATCGACTTGATTCGTTCCCTCCCATACCCTAGTGCCACTCGCCTGCTCATTCTCTATACCACTCCCCAAATTCAGTCCCCTCAACACTGCCTCACTGTTTTGCCCAGAATCTAGTAATGTATGTACTAGCTGCTTAGCGTCCCCGCCAAACTGTTTCACCATGTCATTTACGGTTGCCATGTTTTGTTTCGTCCTAATCAACTGCTGGTATCTAGCTATCTCCAAATTGCTTGCTGGCCGGATAGGGTTTGGTTGATTCCAATACGTTGCTATTCCTTGATCCTGAGATAATGTGCCCTGCTAACATTTGCTCTACTAATGCTTCATTGTAGCACAAATTGAGCCACTTCAGAATAAAAGAGCTCAAGGATGTCCTGGATAAGCTTGGACTTTCAAAGCAAGGAAAGAAGCAGGTTTGCCCACTGCAAGCTCCTCTACATACTGTATTCACAATCAACAGCCATTGCCCAGTACTCCCTGTTATTGTGTTAAAAACGCCGGAATGGCATCGGTTTCTTAAGGCCGCTATCTTTAATAGCTTAAGCATATGCAGAAATTCACCAACACAATCATCTATGTGCCTTTTAGTATTCTTTCATGGGGGATTTGGATGTTATTACTTATGACCCAAGTGGTCTTGCTGTTTCCGGTTTGGTTTGCAGGATCTAGTGGACAGGGTTATGGCGGTATTGTTGAGTCAGCAAGATCAAGGTACATTCCATTCTTATTGTGCATTACTATTTTTCAAGCATGAGAAATAATTTATCTTTATTCTTGTAGCCTCAGAAACGAATGGTTTACCAAAGGCAAAAATGGTGGTGAAAATAGTGGAGGACACTTTTAGGTGAGTCCATATTTCTTTTTTTCACATTGACTTGTCTGTACAACTATAGATTACCTGATTGGCTCTAATGAAACCTTGGCAAACTATCGCTTTTTGCTTCCTGTTTCAAGAAAAATGCAAGACCCTACAAATACTGTTGCAGCCTCAAAGAGCCACGAATCAGGACACAGTGTTAAGCCTAAAAAGAAACCAGGTGATTCTGCTCAGAAAGTTAAGGTTCGTTGCCCTTGTGGTGACTCCAAGCCAAATGATTCCATGATTAAGGTAAAATTCTCATGATAAATATGCCTTTCTAACTCTTCTACAGTATTTGATGTCCTGCAGCCAAACCATAAAGGTTTCAGATATTTGTTGTTGGTCCATTCAGAATCACCAAAGCATCTCACTGTTTATATTCTGAAACTTCAAAGCAATTTGATGGTCTAGCTCGCTCTCAGTCTTTCACTTTTATACTGGAAGCCTGTAGCTTTTATTGTGAAATGTAGCATTACTTGCTTTGTTCGGAAACTTTTGTAATTTGTAGCTCTTGTGCTTGATGAGATGTGCTACACTACATATTTCTGTTTCATTGATCATTTGTTTGCTCCTTGTAGTGTATTGATCCACAATGCAACATATGGCAACATGTTGGCTGCGCGTTATCATACCCGATAGTGAGAAGTCTGTGGACAACATTTCTCCAGAATTACCTTCCTGCTTTTATTGTGAACTGTGCCGACTTAGCAGGGCTGATCCGTAAGTTGTTTTAAACTTCAATATTGTCCTGAACTCAAAGAGACCGAGTCACACACACATCATGTGATTAACTGCTTTTAGTTTGTGACCTTATGCCATTTGTCTGCGCTGGTTATTCTGTGGCATCAATCACTTACGATTTACGAAAATCTCCTTGCCTAGAAATTAAATCTGAGCAATCTGTATCCTTTGCAACGTTCTTCTTCGACCTTTTTGTGTGCTTCCTTGTTCTACTTGTTTAGGTAACAAGCATTATTTTCTTAGTCCTAATATTAGGTGACCTATTATTTCTGACATAGTTTCCTACTGTAACATGCAGTTTTTGGGTCACCGTGAACCATCTGTTACTCCCTGTCTTAATAGGACCCTCTGCCGTAGCAGCAGACGGGTGAGCTATCCATTCTTTCATCACAATGCACACTTATTGATGTTTTTGGATGGTACAAATCAGTTCTGTCTTGCGTCCTCTGAATTATCTGTTAAAACCTTTTTGATCGTTATTGCTAGACCCCCATGTTGTCTAATTTTCTAATAAGTAAAATAACTTCCTTTGATAAATTTACTTTGATACAGCATGAAAAAGGTATTGTATCATGGTTGGGCATTTTTGCTTTAATTGCAACTTAATTCTTTTAAGAATTTTAGAAATGGATATCCATATTGTAATCAGGATGGCAATGCTAAGAAAATCATTGAATATTTTTAGAAAACATTTTTTATCAAGTCGCATCAGATCTTATCTGTTAATCATTTGCTTTATCTTCTGTTTGTGTGATGACAATATTCTTTGCTCTGAGTACTCTTTCCCCAACAAGCCTTACACGTGTTGCTTTAGAGCATCTCCAGCAGCTCACCATTCATCCCCAATAGGATGGTATTGGTGATCGCCAATACTGTTTTTTCAGACTATTGGGAAGATGCTCCAGCAGATCACCAATAATCTCCCCCAATATATGGGACCCACATGTCATATTACAATTTTTTTTCTTTCATTTCCTCCCTCGCGTCTTCTTCTTCCTGCATGCGTAGAGGCGCTCGCGCGGTCGAACTCCTTCCTGCTCTTACGTAGAGGCGCTCACTGACCACGACCACCGCCGCGGCGAGCGACAGCCCTGGCCCCTGCCACCGCGCCGCCCGGCCGCGCCACCCCCAGCCCTGCCCCTGGCCGGATTTCTCGATTGCCATGGCTGTGCAGAGAGGAAGAACCGAAGAAGTGGCAATTATTGTGGGCCCCACTGTATTGGGGGAGATCCAACTCCCCCTTTATTTGAGGGAAGAAGAGGAGTTTATTGCTAACCACCAAAAAAGGGGGCCATATTGGGGAGCTGCTGGAGCAACAAATCAACACATCTCCCCCAATATGGCAGTTTTATGTGGATGAGGGATGAGATTGGGGAACTGCTGGAGATGCTCTTACATCTGTTAATTGCATGAATACATGTGAATGATGTGAGCTTTACTTTTGTTTGCTGGATGACATAAAATGAACAGCCTCCTCCATTATGTGTTGCTGCTGTAGCTTACATGATTTGTGCAGTCATCTTTACTCCTTATGTTATTTATAGGAAGAAACGTGAGATAATTGTACTTTGGATAACAATGTTGATATATGAGTCCCGAGCAACAAAATGGTTGAACAAATTGCTTCATTTTGTTATAAAAGTTAAGTAGGAATATACATAGCCTTTTGTGATTCTTGCTTATGTCCAGGTCATATACTGTACAGTATACTGCAAAAAGCTTTCAGCTTTCAAGAGCTAATAGAGAAATGCTACAGCAAGCTGAATGCGATATTCAGGTTAATTCCACCTCTTTTTCTTTTCATTCTCCTTGGACCATTACGTTTGTTTAGGATCCTCATGGAATAATCACCATTACCTGTGTGTATTGATTTCCTACCTTGGGTTTCATGTGCAGCCACTATGTTCAACCTATACGTATCAGTTATTTACTTAGACTTCAAATCAATTTTTTCTTTTGCAGGTTTGGTGTATCCTTCTCAGTGACAAAGTACCTTTTAGGATGCACTGGCCTTTACACTCTGACATGCAAGTTAATGGTATATGCAGTGGCTTATTATGTATAGTGAGTCATATTTTCTAATTGGATTTGGGTACATGTTTATTGAGTTAAAAAACTTAGTTAAGTGCCACCTGTTTGATTTTTCACAATGTGTACAAGGAAAGAATGGAAGATACCCTTTATTTTTTTGTTCTTCTTTATGAGTTGATATGTTGTGTAGATTGTTGAATACTTGTATAACACCTGGTTGGTTTTATTATGTTGCCACTACTTGGACGTTTGAGCCTGAACCTACGCTTCTGGCAGCTGTGTTGCTTTGTTGGATGCCAAGTGCTATTTTCTGTATAACAAAAGGAAAAGGCAGAGCCAAACACCCCAGTCTGAATCAGATTAAGTCCAAATAACAGCTGATTCATCTTTTGTTGCACAGTCAGTGATGCTTTTCTCCTTTTCTTGGGGGGCTTGCTATGGGTTGATTTGTATATGCACCTCAGTCTATGGTTTATGACTTGTGCTTGTAGTTGTACTTATGCCTGCAGTTTAGCAAAAATAGTATTTTACATCCTTCTAGCTGTAGTTATCATATAGGCTCTGGTAGCTATTCTGACAGTAAGTTTCCAAAAAAAAGCTATTCTGACAGTAAGTTCAATTATACTATATCTGAACTATTCCTGTTGGTAATTCTTACTTTGTCAGGTATTTATGTTAGAGTGGTTAACAGGCAACCCCAACAAAAGTTAGGGGCCAATGGTAGAGACGATGGTCCACTAGTAAGTCTTTTTTGTTTTGAAGCTTGCTATTCTGTTTATTTTTTGCTAAGGCACTGGACGTCTTTTTTACATCATCTTCCTGCATTCATCAGCTACAGTTTTCTCTTGTATATTATATCTCCTTTTGACCCTGAACATTTCTATGTTCCCAGTTAACAGATTACCTGAAGGAGGGACCTAACAAGATTTCTCTATCGAGAAATGACTCTCGTACTTTCTGTTTGGGTATCAGAATTGCCAAGAGGAGATCTCTAGGACAGGTGGGATTTGTAGTATATAGTCCATTGTTAAGCACTACACTCTCAAGATTCAAGACACACATATTTTACTGGGCAAGGATATGTGAATCAGCCGTGCTTCATGTGCGCCTTTTAAGAAAGTGGATAGGCATCGGCAAACACTTTCAGATGGCTTTTATTGTTCTTAGGCATGTCCAGTGCTTTTTAATATATTAGAAGTTTTACCCTCCTCTGTCGACCACAAATATTGAGATGCTTTTCTTTCTGTTCTTTTTTTATTCTTACCATGTTTGGAGTCTTAGACTTTTGATTATCTTCCAAGTGAATTCCATTGTAAGGCCTTGCCACCTTGGGAGGATAGCTGTTTTATATGCCCAGAAAGATTATATGTGGAACTTGTATGTTTGGTGTTATAGCAAAATTCCAATTCCCTGTTGCCCTTTGTTAGGATCTGTATTTTGTAGTGAAAAAACTAATCAGAGAATGATCACCCCCCCAAAAAAAAAAAAAACAGGAAAATACTATAAACTGGCTGGTTGTATTACTGCTACAGTACTACTGCCACAAGCTGGTACCTAGAAAGTGCTGAACACCTGAATCTTGAATCCTGTTTCATTTTTATTGTTTCTAGTTTTTGAAACTTTGATAGTGGGCAGGTCCTAAATTTGGTGCCAAAGGAACAAGATGGTGAAAATTTTGATGATGCCCTTGCTCGTGTGCGTCGCTGTGTTGGTGGTGGAGCTGAGGCAAATAATGCAGACAGTGATAGTGATATCGAAGTTGTGGCTGATTCTGTCTCTGTGAATCTTCGGTGCCCTGTAAGCAGTCTGGCTATTACTGTGGATGCTTTAGATCCTTGATGGACTGCTTATAAAAATGGCCAATTGCTCTGATATGTCTATTAAACCTGACAAAAATGAAAGTGAGATTGATGGAATTAGTAGGTATGGGAGAACATGATTCATGTTCATATAGGCAAGGATAACTAGGGTTGGCTTATATAGGATCTGAACCAATCACCAATATCATTGCCTGTTTCGACTCAACCTATAGGTGTGCGCTGGACTCAGGGTCCGCGGCAGCACAAGCCCGTGTATACTGGGCTCTAGGTCCATCTGCCTGTCTAACACATTGTAATATTGTTCAATTATTAGTATTTGCCACCAGAAGTTATTCTCTATGCTCCAGCTGTGAGCTGATGACTTTTAGGCTTAGGACTTATCCTAAGATCACCATATATGTTATATTTTTGTTAACGTACACGCTTTTTCCGTGACCACCATACTTGGAACGATATGTTTGATGGTAGGCCCTGTGTGGCAACAGCGCTTCTCAGAAAAAAGCCGCTTCTCTTCACAAATGCAAAACTTTTCAGGGCAGCGCTTCTCCATTGCTTTTGTTGCATATAAAAGCCTGATTCTCTTTGCCATGGTTCGCGAGCAGCTTGCAGAAAAATTATACCTGCTTCTTCCACCACCCCCTGCCCCCCTGCTACGCATCCACTTCCTCTTGGCCGCCTTGCTCCTTCTTCCCCTCCGCGCCTCCCCTCTACCACCTCTGCACATTGCCACACCTCCAGTGTTGAGGTTCAACCAGCAGCTCAGAGGCGCGTCCCAGCCATAAAGTGGCTCAGCGGCTAGAAGGGGGCACCTTGGAACTCTGGCTGCTGTGGTCCAGGTCCAGGAGCTGGTGCCTGGGGCTGAAGCTTGGATCGGAGGGAGGAAAAATTGAGAGGTGGTTGTGCTCAAGTTGTGGGTTGGTGTTTGTGGTGTCGATCTGCAGATTAGGAAGAAGAAAGGAGCAAAGATTGGAAGGACAGAGCTTGTATGAGACTGGGAGTGGAGTCGGACTTGATTTGGGTGCAGCTCACCCTGGTACTTTGCCTATCTGGGTGAGAAAGAGATGAGGTGGTGGAGGAGTTGCTGCTTGAATCGATGGGAAAGAAACGGAGATGCAGAGGCTGGTGGTCTTGATCTGGTTTGGTCGATGGAGAACAACATGAAGAAGCTGAGCTGAGGCATGCCTGTTCGCTGCTGGCCACCATAGGGCATGCTGTGTCAGGGCAGCTGTGCACAGCGGAGGCCAAGGTTGAGCGAGAGGGTACGGACAAGAGCGGCGACGAGGATGAGCTCTCCCTTTCTACTAAAGTCAATATGTGGGTCCCATAGGAAAGTATCAGTGAAAAGGTTGCCAAACATTTAGTTTTTTCCCCAGCAGTTGCTTCTCATAGCTTTTTCCATAAACCAACTTGTGCATGAGTTTAAGCTTGTGCCAAACAGGGCCATAGTTTTCTTTGCATTCCTTCACAGAAAGTCACCCAATTTTTTTTTTCTTTTAATCTGTTTTTTTTTTAATCTTGTGACAGATGACTGCTTCAAGGATCCAGATTGCTGGTAGGTTCAAGCCCTGTGCTCATATGGGTTGTTTTGATTTAGAAGCTTTTATTGAAATAAACCAACGTTCCCGGAAGGTTTGACTATTTGGACTCAATACAACTTTACCTCATCTTCTTGACCATATTGATTGAATCTTGTTTCATCTTTATCTAAATCGAACTTCGTTTCCTTGCTTGCAGTGGCAATGTCCAATTTGCCTGAAGAATTACTCTCTAGAGAACATAATAATTGATCCTTACTTCAATCGCATCACTTCTTTGGTGAGTTTATAGTGGCGATGAAATAATGTTTTCAACTTTTCATGTCTACATTTTCAGGTGTGCATCATTGCTGATTTATTGTTTATTGGTGATACAGATCAAAAGCTGCGGAGATGATACTTCTGAAATTGATGTCAAGCCTGATGGTTCCTGGAGAGTTAAGGGCAGAGCTGAACTGAAGGACCTTATACAGTGGCATCAACCAGATGGTACTCTCTCTGTGGCCACAGATACAGCAGCCAAACCTGAAATTTGCATTGTAAAGCATGAGGTTAAAGAAGAGCCACTGTCTGAAGAGGTGGGATGTCTTAAGTTGGGACTTAGGAAAAAAAACAACGGCCAGTGGGAAATTAGCAAGATAGGGGATGCTGATCTGGTGCCGTCTTCTGGTAATGACCATTCAAGATACAATGAAAACAAAAACTGCATCACTCTCTCAAGCAACATTGGTGATACAAACATTGCAAATGAAGGTTTTAATTTAGAGCCAGCAACAAATGGTGATCCTATGGCCTATGTCCATGATCTTGATTCTTCATCCTCAGATGAAAATGGCCTTCCAGCATCAACAGGGCAGGATATAATAGTTTTGAGTGACTCAGATGATGATGATGTCATGGTGTTGTCTCCTGGTGCTGTGAACTGTGGCTCGACGCATGACACTGGAAATCTGTTTCCACTCAACACACCTGAAAATTTAGGAGTGTGTAGCGAACAAACTGGTGGATGCCCAAAAGAAAGCTCATTTGTTGCATTAAGAGAAGGTTTTGGTGACCTGGGATTGTCCTTTTGGGAATGTCCTGGGAGTCCCCGAGATGATCCTACTTCCCAGATACTTGAGACCAGTACAAAGACGACAGATAATCCAGGTGAAGTGGAAAACTACCCTGCCAATGATCAATCTAAGCAAGGCCCAGTTTCTGGGGCTGATTTGGGGGTAGCAGCAAACCCAGTGGAAGATGGGCATGATAGCGCATTGCAACCTTGTTCATTAAGTGAAAGAGATAGTGCCATGGGTCTTGCTAACCTGGTAGCGGACACTCAAACATGTGTTGATGTCCATTCTGACAAATGGACAGATGTCAGCACAAGTGGCTCTGATGAAGATTTAACTACTGCCAAAATTGCATCTAAGAAAAGGAGCAATCCTGGAGACAGAATAACAGCTTTAGATGGTAAGGAAGAAGTGTTCACTCCTTTTGGTTTTGTGTGATTTCTTGTTATTATCTGTTCATTACAATGTTTTTCCTTGATATGCTCGCGCTTAGATGATTTGAATTGCAACATTGTTGCTAAAATTTTATCACCATCACTGTGCCACTGCTAAACGACGGAATCTGTGGCTTGTGGCACTTTGAGTTGCTAATTTATTCAGTAACCATGCCTCTGCTTTTGTCCCTAGAAGAAGATGTAACATTTGATTCCTTTTGTGCAGGTTCACTTGTGGGAAGCGCAAACGAAGATGAGCGCACCAGAGAGAGATGTGGTCCTTTCTCACCACCGCAGCAGCGACGTTCAGTTCGACCGAGAGTGATACTAGACATTGGCTCAGATTCTGATTAGCATACATTTGTGTTGGCTGATGCCCGTTATAGGATATGTAGCGGTCTCCTACCTGTATGGCTTGGAGAAAAGGAAGGGGTAGACTTGTGGATGGATGTAATGGTGTCTAACGCATTAGGTCAGCGAGCTGGCAAGCAGTGAGCGGCAGAAGCCTCTCCTGTATTTGGAGATCCCTATCTCTGTTAGGTGGTAGAATGTGATGACAGGAGCAATATATAGTCACATAGAGCTGAATATATAGTGTAGGCAATTTTGTACCATATATGTCATGAACCGAGGTGGCAGTTAATTGATGTAAATATGGCTCTCTCTTTTTTTCTATTATTACTATATTATGTATGGTCTTGTGGGCTGAAAGGGGAGGGGAGGATGCACGCTTAGCCCGGCCTGGTTACTTATCCGTTTTTTTTTTAATTTTATGATATGATGAAAACGGGCTACCAGCCAAGGTAGGTCGCAGAGCTAGAGAGGTGGAAATGAAAAGGTTGTTGAGCCAGTGAATTTCCCCTTTTGTTGTCATCTTCATCAGGGCAAGGGAAGGAAAACAGAAAAAGGCACTCGTAGCTAGTAGTAGTAGTAGTAGAGTATCCCATATCATTTTCATTGGATTTGGCTGAGACCAGTGCTGATAGATGATGCTCCGACTCCGATCGAGGGCTCTAGCTACAACTCATTGTCGCTCCCTCAAGAAATATAGTACGAGGTTATTATTAATTATTATGTGAGCAGTTGGGTGCATGCATACATATGTCATGCATGGTTGGAGACGAGACGACGATAGAGGGCAGGCCAGGCTCCGCTCATCCAAAATTAGACGCTCATGATGGATGATGCCTTTTTTTTTTGTGAGACCCAGACGCAGATGATGCCTGGCACAGTCAGCATTTGCTAGCTCCAATTCCATTGAAAAGGGTGGATATGGGCCTAGGGCCACTAGGGCCGTGGCCCAAAATACCCTCTTATAGCATCTTTGATTTTCAGTTGGAAGTGTCACCGGATATTAGGCCAAATTCTCTGCACTCTCCACCGGCCCAGGCACAGAGAGCACAAGCGTCTCCCTCCCGCCCTACCCAACACTGCAGCACCGACTCCCGTCCGTGCGCCACAATCCCGTCCGCATTCTTCCACCTTGGAGCATTTTCTCCACGCGATCGACACCACCGCCGCGCCGCCCCCGCCTACACTGAATTAATTACATATTTAGGACTCAAAAAGATTGAATTCTTGATTATGTTGACACTCTGTGAATGATAAATGGGTTCATCTGTGTCTATGAATGTGGGTCTAGTGTCAACATGATCAAAGGCCAATGTTTTAAGTCCTAAATAATCAAATCTCTCCGCCTACACCACTCCATCTACGACCATCTACAGCCTCCACCTTCCTCGTCCTCACCGGTCACCGCCTACTCCGCCCCCGCTTCCACCGCGCCATCTACACCCACCTTCCTCCTCCACCTTCTTCGCCTCGTGTCCCCACCCGGCACCGCCTACGCCGCCCCCGCCCCCACCTCGCACCGTTGCGTTTCAATCTAGGTGAATGCCCTACTCTTCCTTTCTCCTCTCTTCAGATCTGCTATTCCGCATTCGTGATTTTTATTCTTCCTCTCCTCAGATCTGTTGTTCCTTTTCCTTTTTCACGTTCGTGATTTTTCTTCTTCCTCTCCTCAGATATGCTGTTCGTTTCTCGCGTTCGTGAGATGGGCCATTGGCGCTACAAAAATGGGAATGACATCCGCCCCATCCGTGATCCACCAGTGCTACGCCGCGTGACCCCTCCTCCACGACTAGTGCTGATCTGTGTGACCCGGACGCTCGAAGTACCTAAAGAGGTAATGATGAATTTGTACCGTGTGTTGATGTGATGTTGATTTGGATGGCAATATCTAGTCTGATGTTATATTTCTGATGTTGATTTGGATAGCAATATCTAGTCTGATGTTATATTTCTGATGTTGATTTGGATGGCAATACCTAGTCTAATGTTATATTTCTGATGTTGATTTGGGATGGCAAAGTTTGTGATGTTGGCAAACAAGTTGTCCATCTAATGGTCAGTGTCGGTGTTCTACTATGTATTGGTTATTGGATTTCATCGTTCTTCTATGCAGGGGATTTTGGGCTGTGTGCTGTGAAAGGATCAAGATGTCCAAGAGGGGGGGGGGTGAATTGGGCTAATTCTAAATTTTCTTGCAATAATTAAATCCTACGGATAGCCCAATTAACCCCTTGTGCCTAAAAAGTGTTTATATCAAACTAATGCACAACAACCTCGCAATCAACGTTCCAAACTTACTCTAGCAAGCAATTCTATGGATGTAAGACAAGTATTGAAATGCTCAAAGTAAATACTCAAAGTAAGTGCTCAACGTAAATAGAGAGAGAAAGGAACGCGGCGATGTTTTGCCGAGGTATCGGAGAGTCGCCACTCCCCACTAGTCCTCGTTGGAGCACCACAAGGGTGTAGCTCCCCTTGATCCGCAAGCGCAAGGATCAAGTGCTCTCACGGGTTGATTCTTCGACACTCCGTCGCGCGAATCACCCAAAACCGCTCACAACTTGAGTTGGGTCACCCACAAGCTCCGCCGGGTGAACACCAAACTCCCAATCACCACCAAGCCGTCTAGGTGATGGCGATCACCAAGAGTAACAAGCACGAACTCTCACTTGACCACGCGAAGCCTAATGAGAAGATGGATGCACACTTTGCTACTCTTAATTTGCTAGTGAGGCTACTCTCTTGGATTCTCAAATCACAAACACCTCACTAGGACCTTGCTCTTCTTGGCACTCACAAACGTGTTTCTCACCTGTTGAATGAGCAAAGATTCTCCACTCACGAGTGGACCTTCTATTTATAAGCCACTGAAAAACGAACCGTTATGAGTTTCTGCGGACGACCGGACGCTCCGATCGTGATGACCGGACGCTCGGGTCGGTTCAACCCACGAACCAAGATTAAAGAGACGACCGGACGCCGGCGAGGTCCGATCAGACTGATGGGACGCGTCCGGTCGCATAAAACCCTTTATCGAGTCGACCGGACGCCGAACCTCGTGGTCCGGTCAAGACTGACCGGACGCTGTCGGTCACTCTTTCCCAAGTCTGGACCCTTCTTCGAGTCGACCGACGCTGGTCCTCGGCGTCCGGTCACATGACCTTCCAGCGTCCGGTCACATCGACTTGATCACCTCGATCAAATGAACTGACCGGACCTCGCGGCCATCGTCTGGTCCAGACCGAGCCAGCGTCCGGTCGTGTTTGACCCTTCATTCACTTCCAACTTCCGAATATATGTGAATGAATTGTGCTCCAAAAGATCTTAGGCATTCATAGGAGCTACCTAGAGCTAGTTCAAACAAGTGTGCACCACACCTAACTCACTAGACTTAACTAGGTCAAGCTACCCATTCATACCCCCCTTCATAGTACGGCCAAAGGAAAAAAAACAAAGTCCTAAACTACTCTAAGTGTCTCTCCAACTTCAATTGACACTTAGAACTAGTTATTCTTAACCTTGTCGTCCATCCTTTGAAAACCGAAACAATTTCCATCGTAGGGGCATGACAACCTCAATTGCCCAATCGATCTCCATTACCATGACCTAACTTAATTGCCTCTGCAAAACACACGTTAGTCATAGTAATCTTGTATTGACATCAATCACCGAAATCCAACTAGGGGCCTAGATGCTTTCAATCTCCCCCTTTTTGGTGATTGATGACAACACCACCTCGAGTATGTTATGGAGTGAGGTTTTTTTTTGACGGGCTTGGTTCATATAAGCTTTTGTCAAAAAGAACAAAAGAGTTAGGCAAGCTTATATGACCCAAGCCAACACAATGTACTCAAAGAATATGGATTAAGCATGAGTACACTTAACAAAGCTCATTTGCTTCAAAGTATAAACGCGGAAGCAAAATCAAATGAGCATCACACAAGTGATATGACATATAGATAAAGCAAAGTAGAAGTCACACATGTCAAATATCATAATCATGTAGATAGCACTATCACATATATATAATAGTATGCATGAAAGTAAACACACGAATGCATAAGAAATAGTGTATCACACAAATAAAACTCCAAATGTATATAATAAGCTAATACTGGATAACTAGCTCCCCCTAAAACTCGCTCCCCCTAAGTCTACATACTCAAACCCTCTCCCCCTTTGGCGTCAAACACCAAAACCTAGGGGTCGAACGGCGGGGCTGCAGCGGACGAGTCGGGCGCTGAAGTACGTGGAGCAAGATGGAACCGTGCGCCATCATCATCTCGACCTCGAGCTCGAATCGACCGACCCTCTGGGCGGGAAGTGTCACTGAAACGGTCTGGTCTGAGCCGGGGTTGGCTTGCTGTGAATCTGCAAGTATGTCATCGAGATCTCGACGAGGCGATGAGACGGGGGAGCCTCTGAGTAGTCATGATAGCTGGAGCTGCTGAGAGACGGACCGCAAAGATGCATGTGAGGCGGAGTAGGCATGCCGGTCAACTCACCAATGATGCTCCAAGACTCTCGAGACCGACGACTACTGAGCACGAATAGTGAGGAAGTCTGCCTGGTGAGAAACCCGTGTGATAAGGAGTGAACTGCGGGGCTACACCAGGTGAGGCTAACCACTGGGACACCTGTACAGGAGGTGAA